GCGGGCGGCGCAGGTGCGTGTGACTTTCCGGAACCTCGCCTCGCCCCCATGCGCTCAGCGCTCCTGAGCCAGGTAGGGCCAGGGAAAGGAAACGAAAGGGACCGGGCACAGCTCGTGGAAACCACACTGGGTCAAAGAGGAGCTTCGCTCGGTGCCAAGATCATTGACTGTTGGAATGCTAAACCGCTAGCGTGACAGCCAATGGGATGCTAGGGCTTAGGGCGGTGGGCTCGCGGAGTGAAGGCTCGGGAAATCCAGAGAGCTCAGAGCGCTTTGATTTGTGCATTGGATCCTAAGCGGGCGCCTGAAAGAAACTTGCCAAGTGCACGGGGGTTGTTGGAAGGCCAGGCTAGAAAGGAAGTCTCCCCAGCTTCTGCTGTCCAGGCTGGAGTGTCCAGCCCCTGGCAAGCGTCTTCTATGAGCAGGTTTAGTTCCAGCCTTTTCGTGGGTGGTCTGTCAACACGCTTTTCTCTCTGCGCTGCCTCTGTATCATCTCATTGTGTGTTTGGGGGCAGGGGAGGGACGAACTGAGGGTGGAGAGAGAGGTGCATCAAGAGGGGGCGTTTTCCCTCCAGGTTCATGAAACAGTGTCTCTAGTGAGAAGCCACAGTTCTGAACTCTGGGAGGTGTTCTTCCCTGCTGAGGGAGGGAAGACTTGCTGAGTGTTTGTGGGATCTGACAGGTGGAAAGGCTTTCCAGGTGATGGGGATAGCAGGAATCAGGAGGCTGTGCCTAGGTGGGAGGCAGAAAATTGTGGTTAGCAGACGCTCAGCAAGTGGTTTTTGAGTTGGGGCAGAGCCGGAACTAAAACCTACATGTTCAGTTGCACTCTCCAGGGACTCTTCCATGGAAAGGAGCAGGGAAGAGAGAACAGGAGGAGAGACTAGGGTTCATATGCCAGGCCCAGGGTATGGCCTTGAATGTGTTAAGGTCTCAGCTGTCAGTAATGTATGAATTTACTCCAAATCATCCCTGGGGGCAAGATTTGTCCTATTTAAGTGTGTGTGTGTGTGTTTTAATCTCACTCTGTCACCCAGGTTGGTGTGCAGTGGCACGATTGTAGCTCGCCGCAGCCTTGGCCTCCTGGACTCGGGCAATCCTCCCATCTCAGGCTCCTAAATAGCTAGGACTATAGGCATATACCACCATGCCCAGCGAATTTTCTGATTTTTTGTAGAGACGGGCTCTCGCTATGTTGCCCAGGCTGGTCTCAAACTCCTGACCTCAAGTGATCCTCCTGCCTCAGCCTCAAAGTACTAGGATTATAGGCATGAGCCACTGTGCCCAGCCTATGCATTTATTGAAATACAAATATATCTGTTTCCAGCCTCCAGTCATTAAACTGGCTGAAAAGTTCACCATCAGCCAAATTTTAGGGTTCCCTCTCTCCTGCCAGGTTGGAAGGGCCCTGGTGCTCAACCCAAACTGGCCACCTTCTCTGCATGAACACAGGTTCTTCATTGTCTAACCCCTTCTCTGGCTGGGCTCTGGAGGTACCTGTTAGGGATCCTCGTGTTTATCTCCAGCTCAGCCTGGAGACCCTCAGCTGTTCCCAAGGCCCCATGTCATTCTGTGCAGTCCTGCCTGCAGAACTCCCCTCTGGTCTCACGGAATCCACTTGGCTGGCAGGGCTGTGGAATAATAGAAGGATGGGTCTTTGTGCACGTCAACTCCAAGCATCTACGTGGTTTCCCTCTGGAGTAATGCCATTCAATTTATTTTTAAGAACTGAATCTTCGATTGGGCTTGGTGCCTCAGTCTGTAATCCCAGCACTTTGGGAGGCCGAGGCAAGTGGATTGCCTGAGCCCACGGGTTCGAGACCAGCTCAGGCAGCTTGGCAGGGCCTCGTCTCTACAATAAATCAAAAATTAGCCAGGCATGGTAGCGTGGCTGGGGCGGAAGGATCACCGGAGCCCAGCAGGTTGACCCTGGGATGGCTGTGAGTGTGCCACTGCATTCCAGCCTAGGCAACTGAGTGAGACTCCGACTAAAAAAACAAACAAAACAGAACTGAATCTTCCAGGACAAAAGTTTTGGTTCCTTAATACAAAAAGCTGTTTATATACCCTCCCTAGGGCAGGAGAGCCTGGCCTCCAATCCCAAAGCTTGGCTCTTCCAGGAGGGGAAGCCGGAAATTATCTTTTGGGTTTCCAGTGACTGGAAGAGAAAGAGGAGCTTCTGTGGTTTTGAACAGTCATCAAACGGGTGGGGTCTTCATGACAATAGTTAGTAGGTGTTGGGGAGGTAGGAGGTAGGAGTTGTAGCTGAAGTCAGTCCAGCCTTGGAATCAGCTCCCCTCTCCCAACCTCTAAGGCACCCTTCTTCTTGGCTCTGGGCAGGGGGGTGGAGTCTGAGACTGTCTGAGCAGCCTTTCTTCTGGAGCTTTCTCAGCCCAGCCCTGAATAGCAAGGGGCATCTGAGGTAAGCAGGGCCTCTAAGGCCTGGGATAACACAGCAGACAGAAAGCTCCCATCTGATAGATTCTGAACAAACCTGGGAGCCCAGACTACTAACTGTGTTCCAAGAGGACACAGCTGGATGAGGGGGGAAACTCAGCACCTTTTGAATCATCACAAAATAGTTCACCTTTTTCTTTTTCTTTTTCTTTTTTTTTTTGAGTTGGAGTCTCACTGTTG